TCTCTTTAAAAAGTGTGGATTTTTCCCTCTTCCTCCTCTCCCTCAAGTATCATCATTAGCATCACTTCATGAGAAAAACTCGGCAGAAAAGAAGTGCATCATGTGTCACGTCTCACATTCATGTTGACTCTACATTCTGCCAAAGTGATATGTCCAAATTAACTCAGTACGTAAACTGCACCTTTTAAAATCTGATTCTTAGAAACTTCTAGACCACTTATCTTAATCACCTTTGAAGAATCAGTATGTACTTTTCCAGAGCATGACAGAGTTAGTTGCTTTAAATAAAAAGAGGTGATTTGACTAAGTGGTATTATCTGAGACCCTTGGTTTCTGTTTCTTACTCAAAAAGCAGATCTAGCCTGTGGCCATCAGTATGTATTGAGTCATAAAGCTTCTGGAAGAAAGGCTTGATTTCATCAAGGAAACCGAGGACTCCTGAGTACCTCCAAGAATGATAGCTGTTACTACAATAACGTAGTTATTACTTTAAAGAAGCCCAGTAAAATGTGTCCCTCTGGGAAAAAAACACTTAGCCTAGAAATAGAAGTAGCCTGAATTGGTCATTTACTCAAGCCACCTGCCTTTAAACAGAATTTTTAAAAAATCACCTCACAGCAGTTGTACTATTTAAAGATCTCTGGGTAGAGGAATACATCACAGTAGTAAGACAGTGGTTAATACTTGGGTGCTGCTATTACATACTAGGCAGAGGTCTTAAAGATTTTTATACGTGTCAATGTATTTAATCCTCATAGCAAACCTATGATGTCTAGTTATTATCCTCATTTTACAGATGAGGAGCTGGATGCTGCCCAAAGTCACAGGGCTTGCAGATAGTGGCGCTGTCTTCAAACCTAGCTAGTCTGTTCATCAAGTACATGCTCTTACACTGTCCCTGGAAGCTGAATGTCACCTTTATCTCCTTTTCTCTCATCGAACGCTTAACTTGTATTTAAGCCATTAGTGTTTATTACAAGCCTGCTATACTCAGACTCTTTCAAAAATAACCCACTCTTTCTGGCAGATACAGGTGCTTTCTATAAACTTAATTTTCAAGGGAACGACCATGTAAAGAAGTAACAGACTGAATAAAAATAATCAGATTCTCCACAGAACAAATGAATTTCTGAGTCAGTTGTAAATAACACTCAGTCATTGTGGCATTTTATGAAGTATTCCCTCCCCTAAGATAGAATTCCATTGTCTTCATGTGCCATAGCGTCTGATAATAGTATTTTTCGTGTGTCCGCACACTTCAGCTTTCTTCTTTCAGTCCGTGTTTTGGAAAGTCCACAAAACCCAGGGCCCTTGCTGCCGTTGCCTTGTGGTCTGTGTAAAAAACCAGATGATGCCATGCTGGCTTGAACTCTTTCAAATGGATCAAACAGCGCATTAGTCATTGGCAAATTTTTCAGGCCCTTTACCTCAGAGACTACCCAGTTCCTCATTCTTGCCACCCTTCAATCATGAAGTAATAGCAAGAAAAAGATGTGAGTACTTTTTGAGGACACCTCCCACCGCTTTCCTTCAGTGCCCGTGACTGATTCCTTCATTGTGGTAATGTTGAAGGGTCCAGACATCCAAAGTGATTGGGCTTTTAAAAAAAATTTTTAAATCATGAGAGTATGATAACACATTTACAGGAGACTTGGAAAATACACAGCAAAGTTACATGTAGTTCCACTATATACTACAATTCTTTTTTAAGTAGATAAATTAAGATTTTTAGTTGGAGTTTTAATAGCAAAACTCTCAAAAATTAATAGAATGAATATACAGAGAAGTAGAAGGTTATAGTAGGCCTGAAAAGCACTATAAATTCAAGATAATTAAGATTTTTTTATACAACTTTCACACAACAGTAGGATACAAATTCTATTCAAGTTCCCATAGACTATAAACTAGGAGACCTGGGAACACATCCAGAGACATAAGACCAAGTGCAAACAGTTGATGGCCTAATGGTATTGGAATCATACAGAGTCTGTTCTTTTATCACCATGGGATTATATTAGAAGTAAATATCAAAAGATATTTGAAAATAACCCACATATTTTCTAGTGCAATTTGACTTTTACCAAGAAAGATCTTTGACTTAGCTATTGAAAGCCTCAATAAAGTTAAAAGATGGAAAAAACACAGCAGGTGATTGCTGAGATGAAAGCATTTAAATGAGAAATTAATATCAGAATGAGAAATTTATGTCAAAGATATGTTTAAAATCCCATGTATTTGGAAATGAAATGTCCACTTTTAAATGATGGATGTATCTAAGAAGCTAAAATAAGAAGATAGAAAGTATTTGTAATAGAATAAAAATGAAAAGAGAATTCACCAGGATTTGTTGCATGCAGCTGAAGCTGCTCAGTGAAATTAAATACAATGTGGAGTCTTGAATAAGGTATGAAAACAAATAATGGACACTAGCATAAAATTTTGTGAAATTTGAACAAAATCTGTACTTTAGATTGAGGGCAGGAGGAGAAAGAGCAATAGAGGTTGAGATGGTTGGATGATATCACTGACTCAATGGACATGGGGTTGAGCAAACTCCAGAAGATAGTGAAGGACAGCAAAGCCCGGCATGCTGCAGTCCATGGGGTTACAAAGAGTTGTGGACATGACTTAGAGACCAAACAACAACAAAAGTTAATAATACTGTGTCACGTGTGAATTTCTTTTTTTTAAACAACATAGTATTTCTTTATATTCTCAGAATTGGATTAGAAATTTTAAGCCACATTCAAATTTTTTTAAGATCTGTAAGATAATAAGCTTTCCAGACTTTTAGCAGTAATACTAGATGCTAACATACATGGAAGTTTATTGAAGTTTTGAGTGAATATAAATTAGAATGTGTCGTTCTATTTGAACTAAGTTGTGATTGGGCTTTAATTGCTAGATTCCTTCTGTGTCCTTCTTAAGTGGCAAGCCTACCCAAGTGATTTAACCCAAGTGAAGCGTTTTGTCATGCCTTACACTGTTGCATTCCTGTGCTCAGTGCACTTAAAAGTGAAATTACATAGTCTATTTAATGCTTTCACTGTTCATTTACTGCTGAAGAAGTCCCTGTGGAATATGTCATCATAACAAAGGTTGATTTCAGATGTCAATACCAAGACACAGAACTGGCATCAGCAACCCAGGGAGTATGTAGGGACAGCAGCCAACTTTGGAGCAAACCCAAAACTCTTCATTCCCTGTACTGCCCCCAGGGCAAAGGCTATCTACCTGTTATAAAAGGGAAAGCACTGAGTTCATAATTGGTTTTATGCCCAGGGGGCTTATTTAAGTGCTTACCTGTTTAAGAAATTATTTATTTGTGCTTCAAGGGGGTCAAAACCTAATTAATCCTAAACATGCTTTGTGATTAGCTTGCTCTGCAAGGACTGGAGGCCATTCTCACAGATCGCCTTGCTCCTTGGAAAGGGTTGGAAAGCAAGATTTGCAACACTTCTGAGCCAGGGTTCAAGCAGAGAGGCCCTGTATTTCCAGTGGAGCTACACTACAGACACACAGGGAGTCTGTCCTTTGCTTAGAAAGGGAACTTCTTTCTCCCAGAAGCATCTGGGGCATAACCCCAGCTCTAATCAACTTTTACTCAACCCATCTTCAATGGAAGATTGGATTGGGGAAAAAATCCTTACTGAAAAAATCCTAACAAAATCATGCCTCGGTGGAATGTAAATCTATGAGATGGTATTTATAGTAGAAATAGATGAGTTGAAGGGGATTCGGTCCTTTTCCAAGAAATTGTACTGGCAAGTATAGGTTCTTCCTCAAGTTTGTATCAGAAAGACATCCATCAAGGATCCATAGCCACATGAGATTTGTGTCTACTTAGTTTTTCTTCTGAGCTAAGGGCTGCTTGTGCAGATTAAAATACTTCCAATGATTGCATAGTTGGGAAATCCTCAATTTCAGTCATATGCTTCCTCAAAAGGAATAATACGAGTTAGATAGAGTGACCAACTCTTCTCAATGTTAGACTGAAAGTCTTGCACCCCAGGAAACTTCCTTAGTCCCAGGCAAACCAGGATGGTTGCTCACCCTTTGAGGAGACAGAGTGCATTTCCAACAGTTTAGGTGAATTTATCCCAGGATTCTGACTTATAATATTCAAGAAGGTAAAAATAAGGTCATTGATGTTTTCTGTTAGTATGATTTTAGTGTTGGGGTTTTCTTAAGGAAAGAATCTGTGTTCTACTGTAGGAGGCTGGAGGACCAGCTAGAGGAGAGATAGTGTCCAAGCTCTTGTTACTTAAAATGTCATTATCTCCATGGGATTTCCTTTCTGTTACTGTTGTCATCATTTTAAAGGTATAACAATTAAAATATAAATTACTTTAAATGGAGAAATCTGATTTTATAAAACAAGAGCTTAAACAGGTATTGGATCTAAGGATTTGTACTTAGGGAGTACACTTTTTAAAATTAAACAGATCACTGCAGGCTGTGGGCTTGGGTGTCCATGGCCAACCCTTGTGGCCAGGTCCCTGGGCAAGACTCTCTCTCCTGCCTAATCTCATGGCAGATTAGAAAGGACTCTTTCCACTCACCTCTTACCGTCTCTTGATTTCCATCAGTCAGTCAATCCCAGTACCCTTTTCACTAATCTTGTACTCAGCATTTATGACCTAAAATGCAGTGTGGTTGCAGATGAAAATATGTTCTTGGTTAATAGGAAGAGGGTGCTCAGTGGCTCCACAGCATCCTCTGAGATGTGCTCTTCCTTCCAACTTTAACAAGATGTATGTATTTTAAATGGTCTGCTTCTTGAAGAGTATCTTTTACACCCGAAACAAATACCACTAGTGTTTTATTCCCATCCCATCATTTGTTCATCACATATTTTTTCACAACCAAGCTGTGGCTGTATACGTACAGATAGGCCTAATTTGATATCATACTTTTTCTACTTACTAGCTTGTCTTAAGCGTTTTCCCATGTTGTGATATAGTCAGATATGCTAACTTTGAAATGTGCTTCTTATATAGATCTGCAACTATGTGGGACCTGCAAAGGTTATTGTTCAGTTGGTCACAAATGGAAAAAACATCCACCTGCATGCACACAGTCTGGTGGGAAAACATTGTGAGGACGGCATCTGCACTGTGACAGCTGGACCCAAGGACATGGTGGTCGGGTAAGTGAGGGTGTATGTTGTTTCAGAAGGGAGGAGCAGATTGAACATGGCACCTGGGGACTTTGACTGGACAGGGCCTTTTCATTAGGGGTCTTTCCAAGAACCTCAGAGAGTCTTAGCATATGAAAATTTGAGCTGTCACTTGCACTCAAGGAGTAAGCTGCCCACTTGTCTGAGACTCCCCTGAGACAATCCACTTTATAGCTGTTGTCCTGGCCTAATTATTTATAGCACCCTTTTTCATTCTCAAAAGTAGCCCACATTGGATGATAAATTATACAGTCAGTTGACCTATGAGGCATTTGTGCCACTTTTAGCAGTATTTTCCTTCTAGAAATAAAGATATGGACAAATTAGAAGAAAACTAGCTATAGCAGAAATCATACCCTTGATGATTCATTTAATAAACTATTGACTATAGATTTGCACTGTGAACATTTTGTTCATACAGTGGGTTTTATTTCAGTTCTGTGCTGCTTAGAAAGTATGCACAGAAATGATATGACACAAAAGAACTTAATTTCCAAAATATACAAACAACTTATTTAACTCAACATCAAAAGAAGCAAACAACCTGATTGAAAAGATGGGCAGAAGACCTGATAGTTCTCCAAAGAAGACATGCAAATGGCCAACAAGTGTGTGAAAAGATGCTTGATCTGGCTAATTATCAGGGAAATGCAAATCAGAACCACAATGAAGTACTACTTATACCTATCAGAATGGCTATCATCAAAAAGAATACAAAAACAAATGCTGGTGAGGATGTGGACAAAAGGGAACTCTCAAACACTCCTGGTGAGAATGTAAGTTGGTACAGTCACTGTGAAAAACAGTATGGGAGTTTATCAAAAAACTAAAACTAGAACTGCCATATGACCCAGCAATTCCACTCCTGGGTTATATAAAAACAAAAACACTAATTCAAAAAGAAACATGTATCCCAGGGTTCATGGCAGCATTATTTATAATTACCAAGATGTGGAAACAATCTAGCTGTCCATCAACAGATGACTGGATTAAGATGTGCTCTGTACACACACATGCACACGCAATGGAATGCTACCCAACCATAAAAAAGGATGAACTTTTACCATTTGCAGCAACATGGATAGACCTGGAAGGTATTACGCTAAGTGAAATAAGTCAGACAATGAAAGACAAACACTGTATGATATCACTCATATGTGGAATCTAAAAAATAAACTAGTAAGTACGACAAAAATAAACAGACTCACAGTTATAGAGAACAAACTAGTGGTTATCAGTGGGGAGAGAGAAGATGAGAGGGAAGGACAAGATCGGGGTAGGGTACAAACTACTAGGTATAAAATAAGCTGGAAGGATATATTGTAAAACATGGGGAACATAGCCAATATTTTATAATAACTATAAGTAAGGTCTTCCCTTAAGGCTCAGATGGTAAAAAGTCCACCTGCAATGTGGGAGACCTGGGTTCAGTCCCTGGGTTGGGAAGATCCCTTGGAGGAGGGCATGGTAATCCACTCCAATATTCTTGCCAGCAGAATCCCACAGACAGAGGAGCCTGGTGGGCTACAGTCCATGGGGTCACATAGAGTCGGACATGACTGAGCAACTAACATACCACACACACACAACCTTAAAAAAATTTTAATCACTATATTGTAGATCTGTAACATATAATATTGCAACCATACTTCAATTTTTTGGAAAAGTGTGCACAACCAAGGATTACAAATTTGTTTTGGCTTTCAGTAGACTTGAAATGTAAACACAAAGTGACATATTCACTTAAGGTTGGTCAGACAGATAAAACAAGCCATTTTTTTTCTTTTTAAAAAAATCTTCTGGTGGGATCTTTCCAGACCATATATTCAAACTATGTCTCCTGCATTGGCAGGCAGATTATTTACCACTGAGCCACTTAGGGAAGCCCCCAAACAAGCCATTTTTAATGAATGAAGTATTACAGAAATAAATTCAATTCAAAAGAAATTTTCAATTAAATTTGTCTAATTTTCAGGAATATCTTTCAGGGCTTCCTAATACTTGTTTAAATAGTTTATGATAAAATCCCATTTAATCTCAACTATTCACTCAAAAGAAAAGAATTGTTTAAATGAACTGTAATTAAGCTGATGGTAACTTCAGGCTTTGAATTCCGATCAGGTTTCAAGTTGGTGGTTATTGGGGAGGTTGAGCTTTCATGTTCCTGGGTATTTCTTTGTTTGACTGTTAAAATTTTCAAGTGTGAAAAACCTAGAGAGAGAGCTTTCTTTTAAGTCACTAAAATCTGAATCTTTTGATGTCAGGGGAAAAAAAGACTCTAGATTGGAGGAAGAAGCCTAAATTGATTTGAAAAATTCAGCTGTGCTTTAAATGAACTTGTTTCAACATCCTCTTAAAAGACTGGTCTGTTTCCTGTCATGTGTCACAGTTGGTTCATGGTCTGTTTTGGAATACCCTTACAGTTCCTGACTGACCTCTGGAGAGCTTTGAAACGCAGGGTAAATGTCAGAGTTTCAGACAAATCAGTCACTTAGTATCTCTACAAATTTACTCCAATAGGCTACTGTCAGTCTGAAGTATTTATTTTCTTTGGTCCTGTTTAATCTGTGTGATAATCATATGCTTCAGAGGAAATTATAGGTGAAGTTCCCTACTAATAATGTTTGTTATTATAAATATTCCAGTATGTTGTCTGTAATTTGGTGTTTCTGTGATTTGCCTTAGTAGTCTTTGAGGCTTTTAGAAGGAACTAATACTTATTTAATTTGGGGGCCTACAGCAAGAGTCAAAGTAAATTCCCTGTCTCTGAGAAAAGTGAGGAAATGCATTACTTACTCTTTTAGTGCTGACATAGTGGGTTCAGTAGTTGGAAGAATTCATTCAACAAACAGTTTAAGCATCTGAACTTATAAATATGGTCAAAGATGTCTCGTCATAGCCCCTTGGGATTTTTTTTAATACTATGCACTTTTACTAAAAATGTAATCACGAGCAAATTCCCATTGGCTCTCTGTTTTACATATGGTATTGTAAGTTTCCATGTTGCTGTCTCCATACAGCCCACCCTCTGTCTCCTCCCCTCCCCCTGTGTACATAAGTCTGTTCTCTGTGTCTGTTTCTCCATTGCTGCCCTGAAAATAAATCCATCAGTGTCATCTTTCTAGATTCCATATATATGCATTCGTATACGGTGTTTATCTTTCTCCTTCTGACTCAGACAGGGGCTCTGTAACAATCTGGAGGGATGGGGAGGGAGATGGGAGGGAGGTTCAAAAGGGAGGGGACATATGTATACCTATGGCTGATACTTGTTGATGTTTGACAGAAAACAACAAAATTCTGTAAAGCAGTTATCCTTCAATTAAAAATTAAGTAAATTAAAAAATTGTAATCAAGAGGATGCCATGAGAGTTATGTTAGGTTCGGGTGGTGGTAGTGTTCAGTCGCTCAGTTGTATCCGACCCTTTGTGACCCCATGGAGTGCAACACGCCAGGCCTCCCTGTCCACCATCAACTTCTGGGGTTTACTTAAACTCATGTCCATTGAGTTGGTGATGCTATCCAACCACCTCATCCTCTGTCGTCCCCTTCTGCTGCCTTCAGTCTTTCCCAGCATCAAGGTCTTTTTTAATGAGTCAGCTCTTCACATCAGGTGGCCAAAGTATTGGAGCTTCAGCTTCAGCATCAGTCCTTCCAATGACTATTCAAAGTTGATTTCCTTTAGGATTGACTGATTTGATCTCCTTGCAGTCCAACAGACTCTTAAGAGTCTTTCTCCAGCACCACAGTTCAAAAGCATCAGTTCTTTGGCTCTCAGCTTTCTTTATGGTCCAACTCTCACATCCATACCTGACTACTGGAAAAACCATAGCTTTAACTATACAGACCTTTGTAGGCAAGGTAATGTCTCTGCTTTTTAATACACTGTCTGGGTTTGTTGTAACTTTCTTCCAAGGAGCAAGCGTTTTTTGATTTCATGACTGTAGTTGCCATCCGCAGTGATTTTAGAGCCCAAGAAAATAAAGTCTATCACTGTTTTCATTGTTTCCCCATCTATTTGTCATGAAGTGATGGGACCAGATACCATGATCTTAGTTTTTTGAATGTTGAGTTTTAAGCCAATTTTTTCAGTCTCCTCTTTCACCTTCATCAAGAGGCTCTTTAGTTCCTCTTCGCTTTCTGCCTTAAGGGTGGTGTCATCTGCATATCTGAGGTTATTGACATTTCTTCTGGCAATCTTGATTCCAGCTTGTGCTTCATCCAGCCCAGCATTTCTAGTGATGTACTCCACATATAAGTTAAATGAGCAGGGTGACAATATACAGCCTTGACGTACTTCTTTCCCAATTTTGAAACAGTCCGTTGTTGCATGTTCCATGTAGATTCGGTAGCCTCTCCTGTTCAGAGTGCTGTGAAACCTTGGTACTCCTTTTATAATTTGACTTTTAACAGAGCAACTTTTGCCTAGAGTGTTTCCCAAAATACAGTATTTCCTTCATGATTCATTTGTCTCTCTTAATTTTTGTTAAGTTTCTAATATCACATTTTAGTAGAAAGAGTCTTATGCTAGTGGTCTGGAAACCAGAGTTCTGTTTCCAATTCTGTCACCTTCAACTGCAAGAGTAGGGGTAATATGCATGACCTCTTGGGGACATTAATTTCTTCTCTATGCAGTCTGAGAGTTAGGCCACAGAATCTACCTCCAGGCCCTTAATATCCAAATTGTATACTGAACTAACATTAGGTAGTATTATGAAATAACATGAACTGACTTGCACATGTGTATTTAAAGGATGTCATTGATTATTCTTATTTAGTTCTAACTTGTAGGTAAGAATAGCACATAGAGAAATTTAGGAAGATAGCCACAGTTACTCCTCAGACTTGTCAATACTAGAAATGGAACCCTGATAAACTGTTTCCAGTGGAACAGTTTAGGTTAAGAGGATAGATTCATAAGCAGAGCATCAATCCAACATAATCAAAAAGACATATGGAAAATGACCCTG